TTTGGCATTATTGAAATTCTTTCCATTTCAAAATATCACTGACCAAAATCGCACATGCACTTCATGCTGATAACAGCAGGTATCCAACACGATTACGTTCTGGGGTCACTGTATTTTCTAAACAACATTGGTGTTCTACTGTTTGATATAACTTGTTCAGTTCTTGCTTTCACTTCTAAACCATGTAACTCTGATGCCAGCGAGGCTCAAATGGATACCCAATCGAAGGAACACTGCGCCCTCCCGGTGTCTCCCTCTTAGAGAGAAAAGCGTATACGTGTCATCCAGTGGGGCATCATGAATGATCCTTGTATTGTATGAAAATGAACGACAGTATTTACGTTGGATGCTCACAATTGCACTGGAATCTGGCTGTATTTCATCACTTTCTTTTCACTGCACGGTAGGAAAATTGTACTTATCTTCTCGGACCGTGAAAAGTTTTTTCGGGTTTAAGTTTGACTGCTGCACATGACGATGGAAGCCTGGTGACTCCGCTACATGTGTCGAAATCGTTTCCTTGAAGATGGCTCCTGATCCTAAATGTATGGACTTGGAGAAGTTCCCCGAAAGTGTTTTTCATGTACCGGCTGTGCTGCAGACGCCTCTGTAGGGAGCTTATTTCAAGTTACTCAACCAGTGTATGTAGCATATCTGCATTATCCTTCGCCTTTCGCTCTGACGGTATATAGAAGGACGCCATGCTACACCCAATTTTATGTACCTGCCTATCAGGCAAAGTGTGATACACCAGACAACAATTCGGGGAGCTTGGACGATCTCCTTTCACCCGCGTATAAAACATCAGATGACTGCAGCTAAATTTCTTGGTTTTGAAAAGCCTCCTCTCACAACCTTCCAAAAGGAATCGATTAAAACGGCAGATAACTAGAACAAAGACTAACACTGACACCAAACTTTACACCAAATTTACACCAATATGTTCCGAGTTTAGATGCTTTGCTGAATAAGGCCACCTACTCTGACCTAAAGTCCGTCGCGTAACACTGGGACATTATGTGCGTATAATCAGTGGAGTGTTGAGTTCCTGTGAGTGATGCGTAGATCTGAAGACCGTTGGGCGAAAATATTCCAGTCGAGACTCGTTAAACTCTTCGCAAATTTTTAAGCTGCAAGCTGTATATTGCAACTCTTTTGAACTGCTCTTGGTTGGACAACATTACGTTGGAAATAGTTTGGTGTTTGGCCTGCGGCCAACAGATTTTTTTGACATCGTCCCCTGTTTACCGACTTTTGAGAAGACAAACACGCCGACTGTGTAATTGCTTGGAGGTAACCCTCTTGTATCAGGATCAGTAGTAGAACTTGAGGCACGCCAAAGTTCTGGTTAGTAAAAAAGCCCTCTTGAACGTAATCATAGTCCTGGTAAGGCGCCGGACGATGACCAAGTTGTCACGTTTGGCAACAAGTTCAAGAATCCATGATCTTTTACCTGATAGTTGGGGGGTCTCGAATGACTTTCCTTACTAGTTTAAATTACTGATACTGATGTTTCCCACATAAAAGGGTTCCAGGAAAATAGGATCTATGTCCCCTTGTGTTGGTCTTGTTTACTAACAGCCTAGGCAATCAGTTTAGACTGATGACCTGAAGCCGTAAAATACTATTTATTTTTATTTTTATTTAGTAAATACAGGTAATATACAAATGGAAGCTGGCCGGATAAGTCGAAAGGTGCAACCGCACCGAATCACAGTGAATACACACATTAGTATTGGACCACTTAGAGCATCAGAAACCTCTGACGGACGAAGGCATCCTGAACAAACCATATCAACCGAGTAATTTGAAGTGATGAACTTCCAAGTTTAGAGTAAAAGTAACGGTTCTGGCAAGAAAATCCTGGATGTGCTGTGTGTGTCTTTGTCTAAATCACTGACCAAAAAGCATGAAATTCTTTTTTGAACATACAAAGAGAGACTCCTTGAATGTAAAACTACAGCCACACCTTAGGGAAATCAGAGGCTTTACAGCGGGTATAGTGGCTACCTGAACAAATGGTAATTAATATTATTATCATTTATTATAATATTGTTATTATATTACAATTATTAATTATATAATAATTTCAGTTTATTATTCACTTATAGTATTAGATTATATAATATACTATATATGATATAATTATATATTATGTATTATATAAGTAATAAAATTAATTATTTTTAATTATTATTAGAAATTAGTGGTTATCTCAACCACTAAGAACAGTGTGGAAACTGGAGTTTTTATCCTGGCTTGTCGCCAAAAGACCGCTGACCGGATTCCGTTACGCCAAACATTTTCGTCAGGGAGATTGGTCTTTTTTGACAATCAAACTGGGTTTCCGTATTTACTTGAAACGACCGAATACAGACGAGCTGTCAATATAACGAGTTTAGATCCGCCCTTCCCTTCCGCCATAGATGTCACTGCCAGCTCGGATACTGACTTCAGTTTTATCCCCAATCTGT